CACTGCATTCCAGCCTGGGCGACAGAGCGAGACCCCGTCTCAAAAAAAACCTCACAATCTTATATATAGAAAAGCATGACAGCCTTATTCTCCACTCAAAGAATTGTGTATATACTACAAAAATACTTTACCAAGCTTCCTAGTACTTGGATCTTCTCCCGCAAGGCATCGCCAATCTGTCTTACAATTTCTCCTCGTTTTGGAGCAGGAATCTAAGAAAATAATGCAATTTTTGTGTCTGATTCAAAGCATAAATTCATGTCTGTAACACAGTATTGGATATGTGCTGTAAAAGAACAAAGTACAATCATATCAAAGACTTTTGATCATGTCAAGACTGTGATATGGCCAGACACTAAAGCTAAAATAAGAAGCAAGGCATTCCTGGAGCAAATACCTACTGGAAGGCACAGAGGAGAAGAAAAGGCAACAAATAACTACAAATTGCCATCAGGGTTATAAAGACAAAGGAAATAAAAAGGAAGCTGAGGAAGAGAAAAACAGCAAGATTGGAGGGGAAATGGGTAAGTTACTTTACCTAAAAGGTTGGCAGGAGGCCGGGTGCAGTGGCTCACACCTGTAATCCCAACACTTTGGAAGGCTGAGGGGGGCAGATCACGAGGTCAGGAGTTCGAGACCAGCCTGGCCAACATGGTGAAACCCCATCTGTACTACAAACACAAAAATTATCTGGGCATGGTAGTGTGCGCCTGTCATCCCAGCTACTCGGGAGGCCGAGATGGGAGAATTGCTTGAACCTTGGAGGCGGAGGTTGCAGTGAGCCGAGATCGTGCCACTGCCCTCCAGCCTTGGCAATAGAGTGAGATTCCATCTCCAAAAAAAAAAAAGGTTGGCAGGAAAAATCTCAAAGGAGGTAATATTGAAGCTGAAACCTGAAGAATGGGAAAAGAAAGTCATAGGAATATTCTTCCCAGGGATAAGAAAAAAACATGTAAGAGGGATCCATGGAAAATAAAAGGGGCTGATTGGGAAAGCCAGTATGTCTAAAGCCAGAAGCTTGTAAGGTGTTAGAATCTTACTCCAGGTGCAATGTGAAGTCTTGAATGGCTTTTAAGGTGCAGAATAAGAGGATTTGCTTTAATTTTTAATATAATATCAGACAAGTAGAGGATATGTTGAAGGGGAAAAGAGTAGAAGCAGGGAGATCAGTTAAGACTCTATTATAGGCCAGGCGCGGTGGCACACGCCTGTAATCCCAGCTTCGGGAGGCCAAGGTGGGTGGATCATCTGAGGTCAGTAGATCAAGACCAGCCTGACCAACATGGTGAAACCTCGTCTCACTAAAAATACAAAAAATTAGCCAGATGTGGTGGTGGGCACCTGTAATCCCAGCCACTTGGGAGGCTGAGGCAGGAGAATCATTGGTACCCAGGAGGCGGAGGCTGCAGTGAACCAAGATCATGATCATGCCACTGCACTCCAGCCTGGGCAACAAGAGCAAGACTCTGTCTCAAAAAAAAAAAAAAAAAAAAGATTACAGAGACTTAGTCTTAAGATTGCAGTGGTGGCCGGGCACGGTGGCTCATGCCTATAAACCCAGCACTTCGGGAGGCCAAGGCAGGCCGATCACAAGGTCAGGAGATGGAAACCATTCTGGCTAACACAGTGAAACCCCATCTCTACTAAAAATGCAAAAAATTAGCTGGGCATGGTGGCGGGCACCTGTAGTCCCAGCTACTCGGGAGGCTGAGGCAGGAGAATGGTGTGAATCTGGGAGGCGGAGCTTGCAGTGAGCCGAGATCACACCACTGCACTCCAGCCTGGGCGACAGAGCGAGACTCCATTTCAAAAAAAAAAAAAGGATTGCAGTGGTCACAAGGGGAACAAGTGGATTCAGGGTTTATTTTGGGAGTAGAATTGAAAGGACACACAGATGCAGGAAATAAAGAGCATAAAAGAACTCAGGATGACTTCCAGGTTTCTAGCTTCAATAGCTAGGTAGATGGAAGCATAATTACTGGGATGAAGAAGACTTGAAGGGAAACATTAGGTTTGGGGGGTAAAGAGCACAGCTTATGTCATAAAGTTTGAGATGTGATTCATGAATGAGACACAATTTTTCCAACTGTGACCATTACTCCCTCTCTCCCATCAAATTCTTCCCAATTCTGCCTCTCCTTCAAAGTACAGCTAAGGCTGGACGTGGTGGCTCACATCTGTAATCCCAGCACTTTGAGAGGCCAAGGCAGGTGGATCACTTGGGGTCAGGAGTTCAAGATGAGCCTGGCCAACATGGTGAAACCCCATCTTTATTAAAAATGCAAAAATTAGCCGGGTATGGTGGCAGGTGCCTGTAATCTCAGCTACTCGGCAGGCTGAAACAGGAGAATCACTTGAACCCAGGAGGGGGAGGTTGCAGGGAGCTGAGATCCCACCATTGCACTCCAGCCTGGATGACAAGAGTGAAATTCCATCTCAAAAATAAAAATAAAAAAATAAAGTACAGGTAAAACGAACACTCCCCTCCATGAAACCTTCCCCCAGGCAGAGGCCAATCACACCCTCCCCCTAACTCCCACTGCGCCTAATCACAGTACTGCTCACACTTGCCTCACAGAGCTTGACTGTGAGCTCAAGGCTTTTACTTGCTCTCTCTTCTCCCCAAGTGTATTATCATGTCTTAGCACAGCTTTTCTGGATGGTCACTTTGCAATCTATTAACATTTAAAACATTCCTATCCTTTGTTTTATTTATTTATTTTTTTTTTTTTTGAGACGGAGTCTCACTCTGTTGCACCCAGGCTTGAGCGCAGTGGCACAATCTCAGCTCACTGCAACCTCCGCCTCTTGGGTTCAAGTGATTCTCCTGCCTCAGCCTCCCAAGTAGCTGGGATTACAGGCGCCTGCCACCACGCCCAGCTAATTTTTTGTATTTTTAGCAGAGACGGGGTTTCACCATTGTTGGTCAAGCTGGTCTCGAACTCCTGATCTCAGGTAATCCACCCGCCTCAGTCTCCCAAAGTGCTGGGATTACAGGCATGACATTCCTACCCTTTAACTAAGCAGTTCAGCTTACAGAAACTGAGCTTATACATGAGTATGCAAAAGTATAGGCACAATGATATTCATTGCAGTGCTGTTTCTAGTAAAGAAAAAAAAAAAACCATCCAACTGTCCATCAGCACATGATTGGTTAATTATGGAACAGTGATAAAATAAGGTCGATTTTTATGGGAAAACATTGAAAAGCTATGATAGGATAATAGAAAACAAGAAAACACTTATGGTAACTAAACTTTTGCTTAAATTTGGAGGAACATATACCAAGCTGTTCACAATGGTTTTTTCTGGTGAGTGAAATTATAACAGATTTTCATCCACAATTTATATGTTTGCAATGTCTGTCATTTTCACAATATATGCACACTTTTGGAAACAGGAAACAAAACCTGTAGCATTAAATCAATCAGCACGCAACCTATACATTTCCTAGCACATGGTGTGGATTTAATGATGTTTCAATTGAATTTAGTAAGCACATTTATACATTTAGTTAAGTTGGTTAATTTCAACTCAGAATGGCCAGTATACATGGCCTTTTACCTCCCATTCTGGACACATTTTATTCAGTCAGTCTTTCAACAAATAATCATTGCACATGTTCTATGTGCCAGATACTGTGCTAATCCCTGGATACTCTACTGCAAATGAGGCAGTTACAATTCTTGCTCTCTATAGAGTTGACAGTCCATGGGGATGATAAAGGCAAGAAACAGGCAAGTACAATCTAATGTGGCAAATGCCACGAAAGGGGAGCTAGATTTCACAGCTGGAGCAATCTGAAGTAGGCTTTTTACAAGTTTAGAGTTTAGGGCTAAGACCTAAAACATGTCAGATGTTGTGAAGAGGTAGGCAAAGTAGAGGAAAAGCATGGGGATAGAGGGGTACAGAGCATACGCAAAGGCTAAAAAGCAAGAGAAAGTGGTTTTGGAAAATTATGGCTGGGGATGGTGGTTCACACCTCTATTCCCAGCACTTTGGGAGGCCGAGGCAGGTGGATCATTTGAGATCAGGAGTTCAAGACCAGCTTGGCCAACATGGTGAGCCCCTGTAAACACAAAAATTAGCCACATATGGTGCCCGTAATCCCAGATTCTCAGGAGGCTGAGGCAGGAGAATCACTTGAACCCAGAAGGCAGAGGTTGCAGTGTGCCGAGATCACACCACTGCACTCCAGCCTGGGTGACAGAGTAAGACTCCACTCTTTCTCATCAGAGATGAGAGGGAAAATGAGGACACATGGGGATGCAGAGGGCAGAAATGGGCCCCATTCTGTGCTGAAACTGGCTCATGGAAGAAAGCAGCAAGTATATTCCTTAGAAAGAAATCAATTTCTATAAACTACCTTTCCATATGTTTCACTTTGTTTCCATTTCCCTTAAAGAAAAATGTTCCCTTTGAAAACTTCTAGAATTGGCCAGATGCAGTGGGTCATGCCTGTAATCCTAGCACTTTGGGAGTCCGAGGCGGGTGGATCACTTGAGGTCAGGAGTTCGAAACCAGCCTGGCCGACATGGTGAAACCCCATCTCTACTAAAAATATTTTTAAAATTGGTGGCGGGCGCCTGTAATCCCAGCTACTTGGGAGGCTGAGGTAGGAGAATCGCTTGAATGGGGGAGGCGGGGGTTGCAGTGAGCCAAGATGGCGCCATTGCACTCCAGCCTGGGCAACAAGAGCAAAACTCTGTCTGAAAAAAAAAAAAAAGAAAAGAAAAGAAAAAGAAAAATTCTAGAATTAACTCAAATGAACTACATGAAACAGTGGTTTGTCCTAACACAGTCAAGGCCAGCCAAACGGACGAGGGCCAAGCAGAGAAGCCTCACGTGAGGGAGGATCGAGACAGGAAAGCTTCTGTGACGAGAAGGGGGTCAAGCTTTGGTCTGTTCTTACTAAGCCTCTCTAAGTCCCTGACCTATTGGCAGGCGCCCCAGAGCACAGTTAGGAAAAACTCTGCCTCTTTGCTAAACCTTGAACTCAATTGCTTAACTCAAAATCAAACAAGTAGGATCCCCAACAGACTCTACTATTACCCAGTAAAGCAACCTGTTCCCACTTAGCACCCCCATTCTATTTATTGGGAGGTCTAAAAAGCACCAGAAGTATGAGAAAGGATATTAGGTGCAGAGGCTGGCATGGTGAGCAAGACTTGACTGCCAGATAAGATCCTGAATGTGAAAATAGCAACCAAAAAAAGTACAGCCCGATACTTAAGAAAGATCATAATGTCAGCTGGCACTCCCTAGGGCAAAGATAGATTTAAAAACCAGTTCATTCCAGGTGCGGTGGCTCATGCCTGCAATCCCAGCACTTTGCGAGGCAGAGGCGGGCATATCACTTGAGGTCAGGAGTTCAAGACCATCCTGGCCAACATGGTGAAACCCTGTTCTCTACTAAAAAACACACAAAAAAAATTTTTTTGCAATGGCTCATGCCTGTAGTTCCGGCTACTCAGGAAGATGAAGCAGGAGAATTGCTTGAGTCTAAGAGGTGGACGTTGCAGTGAGCCAAGATCATGCCACTGCACTCCAGCCTGGGCAACAGAGCAAGACTCAGTCTCAAAAAAAAAAAAGAAAAAAAAAAAACAGTTCAGGAAAAGACAAGATCCTGAATTCATATAAACTCTTTTTTTCTTTTTCAAATATGTTTGTATTTACCGTGGATAAATAGACACATACAATAGACGCTTCTAGTCAGAAGACAACATGTTAAGTTGCACTAGCATTCAAAACAGTATATGCAAAGAGTGAACCCTCATGTAAATTGTGTACTTTAGTTAATAATAACACATCAACAATCGCTCATCAGTTGTAACAAAATATGACATGCTAATGCAAAACTTTAATAATAGGGGAAATGGCCAGGCCTGGTGGCTCATGCCTGTAATCCCAGCACTTTGGGAGGTTGAGGTGGGCAAACTGCTTGAGCACAGGAGTTTGAGACCAGCCTAGGCAACAGAGCAAAACCTCATCTCTACAAAAAATACAAAAATTAGCCAGGTGTGGAGGAACATGCCTGTAATCCTAGTTACTAAGGAGGCTGAGGTAGGAGGATTGCTTGAGCCCAGGTCGAAGCTGCAGTGAGCCGCAAGCTGTGAACATGCCACTGTACACTAGCCTGGGTGACAGAGTGAGACCCTGTCTTAAAAAAAAAAAAGGAAACTTGGGAAGAGGAATGAGGGAGTAATGGAAATTCTGTACTTTCTACTTGTTTTTCTGTAAACTTAAAACGGCTCTAAAAAATAAAAGTCTATTAATTTATTTTTTCTTTGAGAGGGAGTTTTGCTCTTGTTGCCCAGGCTGGAGTGCAATGGCTCGATCTCAGCTCACGGTAACCTCCACCTCCCAGGTTCAAGTGATTCTCCTGCCTCAGCCTCCCGAGTAGCTGGGATTACAGGCGCACACCACCACGCCTGGCTAATTTTGTATTTTTTAGTGTAGACAGGGTTTCTCCATGTTGGTCAGGCTGGTCTCGAACTCCCAACCTCAGGTGATCCACCCACCTTGGCTTTCCAAAGTGTTGGGATTACAAGCGTGAGCTACCGTGCCTGGTCTATTTTTTTTTTTTTAAGTATAAATGTATAGGAAGGCTGGGTGCAGTGGCTCACGCCTGTAATCCAAACACTTTGGAAGGCCAAGGCAGGTGGATCACGAGGTCAGGAGTTCGAGACCAACCTGGCCAGCAGGGTGAAACCGTCTCTACTAAAAATACAAAAATTAGCCAGGCCTGCCACCCACTCTGGAAAGTGAGGAGCGCCTCTGCCCAGCCACCGCCCCATCTGGGATGTGAGGAGCGCCACTGCCGGGCCATCCCAGGGTCTGGAAAGTGAGGAGCGCCTCTGCCCAGCTGCCCAACTGTCTGGGAAGTGAGGTGCCCCTCTGCCCGGCTGCCCACCATCTGGCAAGTGAGGAGCACCTCTGCCCGGCCGCCGCCCCATCTGGGAAGTGAGGAGCGCCTCTGCCAGGCTTCCCACCGTCTGGCCAAGTGAGGAGCACCTCTGCCCCGCCGCCCCACCATCTGGGAGGTGTGGAGCGCCTCTGCCCCACTGCCCACCCTCTGGCAAGTGAGGAGCGCCTCTGCCCGGCCGCCCCATCTGGGAAGTAAGGAGCACCTCTGTCTGGCTTCTGCCCTGTCTGGGAAGTGAGGAGCGCCTCTGTCCAGCGGCTGTACAACCTTCCAAGTGTGAAGTGACAGCCTTGTGTGTGATCTTTTCTGTCTTCCCCAAGTGTGCATTTTCGACATTAAAGCTTACTTTTTAATTAAAAGTTTTAAGTTGGAGAACATATTTAAGAAAAAAATTAGCCAGGCCTGGTGGTGCACACCTGTAGTCTCAGCTACTTGGGAGACTGAGGCAGGAAATTACTTGAACCTGGAAGGCAGAGGTTGCAGTGAGCGGAGATCACACCACTGCACTCCAGCCTGAGTGACAGAGCAAGACTCCATCTCAAAAGAAAAAAGTATATACGTATAGGAAAACAACAATTTTTTAAAAAATTACGCAGCTGGGCATGGTGGTTCACATCTGTAATCCCAGCACTTTGGGAGGCCAAAGAGGGCAGATCATTTGAACTTAGGAGTTCAAGACCGCCCTAGGCAATATGGTGAAACCCCATCTCTACAAAAAATGCAAAAAAATTAGCCAGGCATGGTGGTGTGTGCGTGTAATCACAGCTACTTGGGAGGCTGAGATGGGAGGATCCCCTGAGCCCAGAAGGCAGAGGTCACAGTGAGCTGAGATTGACTCACTACACTCCAGCCTAGGTGACAGAGCCAGATCCTGTCTTTAAAAAAAAAAAAAAAAAAGCAGTAACTCTAGGATGGTATGCAATACAATCATCACAGGTCACAGGTCACAAAATTTTATACACGCCATGTATATATGAACGTACAATAATCACAGCTATGAAATAAATACATAAAAGACTGAAAGGAAATGCACCAAAACCTAAACCTAATAATCATTTTGCATTGCAGAGGTTGGGGTAAGGGGACTAAATTTGTTTCTCTTATTTACAGCATTAATCTTTTCTTAAAAAAAAAAAAAAAAAAGAAAAAGAATATTTATTACTTTTATGATCAGAAATAAATAAAAGTAAGTTTTTAAAACAATGAAGGATACTGTTTTGGACACTATTCTCTATCCAGGTAGGGTGAACTTTACCTAGCACACTGTTTACTTGTGGAAGTGGTATTTTTCTGCCCAAAGACACTTTTGATTGTGTATAATGGAACCCGAGGCCATACTTCTATCCATAATTAAAGTAGAGGAAAGATGTGCTTCATGCTTTACACAAAGACGTCTCTTGGCTGATTTAAAAAAAAAAAAGAAAAAAAAAAAGCTTCATCCAACCCAGGGCTCTCCTGGACAGGCTGCCACTCTGCAACCCACCCCAACCCCACCCAACCCCCCTTGCAATCATTGACTCAGAGAAAACACTGCAGCTCAGCAGTCCCTCACCCAGCAGCACAGGGTTTAACTCAAATGTATGGAGGCTTTTCCTGTGCCAGGCTCTCCAGTAAACACTTTAAATGATTAACTCATTTAACCCTCCCAGAAGGCAGGCACCCTCAGTCTTTTCTTTTTACAAGACAAAGCACACTGAGGATGGGGGTAGTGGGAAGGTTGGGAAATCAGGCTATCCCGGTTCGGTTTGCCTTTACTCTCTCCTTCTCAGGAGCCTAGCCCCCACCTAGTGACGAGTCAGTGTGGCCAGCCCAGCACCAGTCACAGTTCCTAAATTTGCTCTCCACCAGTGGTGGAGACTCAGAGACCAAGGAGGCTGACTCTGCCTCACAGCCTCATTAGACAGTCAAGGAATATGAGCTTCTGGCCCTGAGAAAGGGATGCTGCCACTGCTCTTTTTTTTCCTTTTTTTTTGAGACGGAGTCTCACTCTGTCGCCCAGGCTGGATGGAGTGTAGTGGTGCTATCTTGGTTCACTGCAGCCTCCGCCTCCCAAGCTCAAGCAATTCTACTGCCTCAGCCTCCCGAGTAGACTGGATTACACGTGCCACCATGTTCGGCTAATTTTTGTATTTTTACTACAGACAGGGTTTCACCACGTTGGCCAGGCTGGTCTCAAACTCCTGACCTCAGATGATCCACCTGCCTCAGCCTCCTAAAGTGCTGGGATTACAGGTGTGAGCCACCAGGTCCAGTCTGCTGCTGTTCTTTAAACCAGGAATGCTGACCTATTGCTGAGATACTCCCAGACAAATCTGGCAGGGGGTAAGAGGAGGAGCAAATGAATATATCTAGCATAGGTCTTCTATTCATTTTCTATTTAATTATAAATTCAAGTAATTTCAGTGAAGAATAGTGTTCACAGCTCAAGTTTATACTATACCAGCACAAAGTTTTAATTCATTTAAATTTATCCATTCAATGAATGGCAAGTACAGAAAAGGCACTACCCTAGAAATATGGCAGAGGTGTTACCAAGACAGCAGGAGCCCTAGTACAGTATCACAGCCCCCAAGGAGCTCACATTTTAACAAGGCAGCACTGACCTGCTTATCAGATGTTTATGTATCTCATTGCTTACAATAGGCAAAGTGACCGCTTCTGAATTCTAGAAACAAAGGTCATACTTACATCTGCCCAGATTTTCCATGCTTCTTTTGCTTTCTTTACAGTTTCTTCATAGTCTGCCACACTGGCCTAAATTAAGAAGTAGGGGGACAGAGAGGGGGAAATAAAGAAAAGTGATGACAATCTTCTAGAACACACAAATATTTTCAGAAGAGAATTGGAAAATCTCTAGGGTTCTCTAACATTTATGGCTGAGAATGATTCCCACAGTCTACACTCCCCAAAACTAGCTAGAACCCGGTAAAACAGGTTGGAATCCAGCTATGCCTTAAAACCTTGCTTTTCAAAGCAAATCTGTCAGCTTCATCTGAGAACAACATGTGAGGCATATTAGAAATGCAGAACCTTGAGCTCCAACCCAAACTTCAGAAATCAAAAGCTTCATTCTAACAAAATCCTCAGGTACTTCAGAAGCACTGTCTTAAATGGCCCTCTGCCTAGTCTTTCTATGCTTCGCCTTTTCTATGGTTCTTTCCTTTTCACGCCCCCACCCAAGGGAGGACAGTCTCCCCCAGACAGTCCTAAATGTCAAATGAAAAATAAACACATTATTCTCTGCATTTGTGATTTTGTATTATTCTTCACCTGCCTAACTGGCTTCTGCCTCTAAAGAAAGCCTGCACAAACTCCTTGTGTGTAATTTGAATTAAACACACACACACACTTACCTGTCGGACTCTTGCTATTGGCTCATTGTTAGCAGGGCAATAGGTCGTAATAACCTTAAAACAAAAGGATGATGATCATGTATAGGAAACGTAATCCCTTCTGAAGTAAGGGAATAGACCAAACTTCAGGGGAAAGAAAAAGAAGAGAGGAAACAATGATATAATATCCAAACTCAAAAACCTTAGGTTAACTTCTGTTACATATAAACCACTCTACAGAGGTTGTCTTTCATTTCTGACTTAAACATTAGAAACTACCTTTACTGCAAAACTCTCCCCTGACATCTCAATATTAGGTGTACAAACAAAAGCTTTAATGTAACCAGTTATTTTGCCTCTTTTTCCATTAATAACAGCCCAAACTGACTAGTTTTAGTTATTCCTTCTCTCCCTTACTAGTGACAAGTCATCTCTGCTCAGAGATGAAATGGCCAAGGTGGGAAAACCATGGGAAAGGCCTGTGTCCACACCAGTTGGAGAGGTCTCAGGTCAACAATGAAAGGGAAAATCAAGGCACAGCTAAAAAGGCCTAATGATCAGATATCACATGGAAATCAAGATTAAACACTGAGGTTTGAGGAGCAATTAAAATTATCTGTATCTCCTACAGCCACTAATAACCAAAAGGAAGAAGTGTTCCCTTTAACAAGGCAGGTTCATTATATAATATACAACGTCCAACAAAGTTTAACTGTTATATAACATCTTCTTATAAAAAATTTTCTTTTTAAAAAAATCTGGGCGATAATAACCTTACCTTTCCTTTGTATTCTATAAAACGTTGTATTGAGCAGTAACGGGCATCAGGCGCGGTGTTAAGCCCTGGGCAACGGAGAAATGCTGAAAACCCAGTCCTCAAAGGAGTTCACAACCCAACGTAAAACATGGCAGGATTTCAGCAAGTCCGAGCTTGCAAACTCCCAAGGAATTCAGGAAGAAAGATAACTTTAAACTACACTGAAGAACGTTACTTGCGGTGCATGTCACAGGTGAAGAGCCAAAGTTAAGCTCTAAATTAAGATCAGTTGCACCCCTCAATGTGCCACATTTCTCACTACAGATCCAAGACCACAAAGTTTTAAATATGAGCGGGAAGTTTAGGCCCCTACAGCTCCAAAATGACTTCGGTTCTGCATAGGTCACAAGGACCTAAAATCTAAGTTTTCATTTTAAAGGCACCCTACACGAGAAAACTTGTACTGTGGAGCTTCAAAATCTCCCACTCTGTACTACCTCCTCCAGCGCCAGCGGGGACTCGGTAGGTCAGTGCCCGCCCGGCCTCCTCGAGCGAACCCCGGCGGCTGCAGAGATTTCTTAAGCGCCCGCATACCTCTCCCCGGCCTCCCCAGCTTCCATTATACACGCCCTCGTTTTCCTCGCGGAGCCCCAGCTCTTTCAGCCACGCATACTGGGGTTGATTGATGAGGAGAGTGGACATGAAGGCGGCAGGCCTGCTCCAAGGTCCGGGGAGCTTGCTGGTCTTTGCAGCGTGCACACACAGCGCGCGGGGTAGGCGCCACATACTGAGCTCAGAATTCGGAAGGAGACTAAGGCCGGTCGAGTTGCTGAAACAGAGCCCCGCCCCCCGCCCGAGAGAACCCATTGGGCAGACCCGATCCCTCCCACAGGGTACGACCCCGCCACCGCCCCGTCGGCCCCTAGTCTTCCGGAGATGCCTGCGGCTGAATCCTGCCTGGAACAATGGGAGTGCCATAGGGAGGAGTGGGCTGCTGCCATCTGGTGAAAGACTCCGGGAGCCACGGCTCCAGCTAGGAATTCTTTTCAGCAAAATATTGGCGCTGAAGTATAGCAGGCTATAGCAGGGGTTCTGAAACTGTAAAATGCATGAAGTTACCTGGTGGTCGTGGTGAATGCTCATTCTGATTCAGTAAGTCTGGGCTAGGGTCGGAGAGCCGACATTCCTAACCAGCTCCTTAGCGATGGCGATGCCTCTGGTCCCTAGAGTAGCCAAGGGAGGGTTTGTATTGAGCGGCGGGGGAAGGGTTGTTTGTTTTCACTGTTTTGGTAAATTACAAATGAAAGATTTGTAATTAATGATAAATATTAGATTGTTGCATTTCCTCTATAAATACCCTGCCTAGGTATATTCTTACTTTATTTTTTATTTATTTATTTATTTTGTTTTTTGGGAGACGGAGTTTCAATCTTGTTGCCCGAACTAGAGTGCAATGGCGCGATCTCGGCTCACTGCAACCTCCGCCTCCCGGGTTCAAGTGGATTCTCCTGCCTCAGCTTCCCGAGTAGCTGCGATTACAGGTGTGTGCCACCACACCCAGCTAATTTTTTTGTATTTTTAGTAGAAACGGGGTTTCACCATGTTAGCCAGACTGGTCTGGAACTCCTGACCTCTGATCTGCCCACCTCAGTCTCTCAAAGTCCTGGGATTACAGGTGTGAGCCACTGCATCCGTCCTATTCTTGCTTTTTTTTTTTTTTTTTAGAGGAAGCCTAGCACTGTCCCTGGGGCTGGAGTCCAATGGCTCAATCGCAGCTCACTGCCACCTCCACCTTCTGGGTTCAGGCGATTCTCCTGCCTCAGCCTCCTGCGTAGCTGGGATTTCAGGCGCCCACTACCACACTTGGCCAATTTTTTGTATTTTGAATATTGAGGGGGTTTCACTATGTTGGCTAGACTGGTCTCGAACTCCTGACCTTGTGATCCACCCACCTCAGCCTCCCAAAGTGCTGGGATTACAGGTATGAGCCACGGCACCCGGCTCTTACTTTTAAAGAATAAAGACAGTTTTGATCAATTTCTTTCATTCTCCATTTCTTCTGTCTTCCTACACTATCCTTTCACTCATGCATGCCCCATCTCATTTCACAATAACTGGGCCAACCCTATAAGATGGAAATACTAATATCTCAATTGGCATTATTTGAACATGAGTTTAAAATATGCTTGCCCATGCTAGAGTGCCGTGGCAAGATCATGGCTTACTGAAGCCTCAACCTCCAGGGCTCTAGTGATCCTCCTACCTCAACCTCCTGAGTCGCTGGGACTACAGGCATGCTACCACACCCAGCTAATTTTTGTGGGTTTTTTGTAAAGACGGGTTTCCCCCATGTTGCCCAGGCTGGTCTGCACCTCTTGGCTCAAGGGATCTGCCCACCTCGGCCTCCCAAACTGCTGGGATTACAGGCTTGAGCCACCGGCCTCCCAAACTGCTGGGATTACAGGCTTGAGCCACCGGCCTCCCAAACTGCTGGGATTACAGGCTTGAGCCACCGCTCCTGGCCCCTTTCATCTCTGCATTCAAGCATGAGCTTTATCTCTTCCACCCTTATAATAAAAATGATTTGAACACACACTCTGCATGTATCAAGCAGCTACCAGAAACTGCAGTTAGTACTAGGCATACATGCAAGATGCTTCCTTTTGTAAATGCTACGGTTTTTTCCTATTAG